GGGTTGGGGGGTGGTGCGGTGAGTGTGTGGGCGTGCTGTGGCTGGTCTCGGTGCCGCTCCATTCAGACTCGGAGTCGGGAGGTGCCTCAGTCATGATCGAATCCTCGTCGCCGCTGGCCTTCTCGTTCGCCACAGGAGTTGTCGTCGCAGGACGTGCGTCAGCTTCCGCAAAGGCGATAGGCGTAGCATCGCGCTCTCCGTGGGTGGATGAGATCGCAGCCGAGTCCAACGCGATGAGCTCTGATTCGGACGAACTATCGAACAGACCGTCCTCCGACATTGTTCGGACGGACAGGTCTTTGAGAGCGCGCGTTGACGTCGGCATGGATGCGGGCATTGTGGCTGGACGCGTTCCTGTAAGGTCGACGAGAGAGCGCTATGACGACACCAGCGTGGGCCACAGGGGAGTCCTTGTGTGGCGCAAAGGGTCGAGGGTGAGCGAGCAGCCCCAGGCGTTTGAGATCGACGAGCAACGCGAGTGAGCGATAGCCTAGAGTCAAGAGCGAGCGATACTGAGATGAGTGATGGAGATCGAGGCAAGATAAGGGGCAAGATCGTGAAGGTCAGCGCGAGAGCGCTCAGTGGCTACATGTGGCGGCAACAAACGCTCGTCATCGGCCTCTGCTTGTCTACGCTGGCCACGTCTCTCGTCCACCGCCTTCCTCCATCTCCCGCATTCACAGCGCACACAGCGGCCCAATGCACCAGCATGCCTCCATCGCGCAAGCATCGCCTACCCGCTGCAACACGCGCATCGCACGGCCGCAGCGCCAGGACTGTCGAGTGGGGAAGGGAAGCTTTGGGAGATGTCGATGAGCACGAGGGCTGCGCCACAATGTACGTCTCTTGCCCATTCGTGCCTCTGCCTGCCGTGCGCTCCCGTTGTCTCCGCTCTCCGTTCTTCATACGCCGCGCTCGAACGCGTCGCGACGTCCCAGTCTCGATGGCAGATCTGACATCGATCGCGACCGCGTGCTGGGTCGACTCAGCCGTGCAATCCAGGTGCGCATCTTCCGTTCACTGCGCGCCCTGGCTACATGTCGAGCGACGTCCGCGTACCCCAATGCCCGCTCTCCCTGCTCTGACCGTGTCGCCGTCAGCTTCGCGCACCCGCCCACTCGCTCCTCCACATGACGACCGGAGCTCGTTCGCACTCCGAGTCGACCGCATCGACAACATCATCCATTGCTGCGTCGCAGACACGCCGCCGTCGTTCGGCCCTATCCATGCCTTCTGAATGTACATCGCCGCTCGCCGACCGTCGTGCGCTCAGACGCGCGTTCTCCTCCAGCCGACGAGCTACAGTACCACCACGATCTGCGCGCCATCGATGGGTCGCGGCGCAAATGCCCAGCGCGTGCGCGCAATGCTTACATGAACGCGTGCAAGGGTCGGGTTGGGCCCAAACGAGACCACCCGCGCGCGGTTCGCGGGTTTCACGGTGAGTCTGTATGTAATTGATTATCGCGCTTATGCGCGAACGCAGCCATCGCTCGCAGCGTACGCTCATCTCGTCACGCGCTGCGAGCGTTCCGCTTCGCTGTTGGCGAGAACGACCGCGCTCGCGTGGTACGCCGTCCGTTCCGACAGGCGTCGGCTGCCGATCTCACGCAGCGCGTTGTTCCAGCCTCACAATAGCAGGTATGTGGTTCAAGCTTTCCATTCAACCATTTCTCCCCTACCCTTCCTCTCAAATGTTCCATTCCACCATTCCTCTCCTACTCCTCCTTCCCGCAATATATTTCTACTCTAACAAAGCCGAGATGACCGTGAGCACGAGACCAGTGCACGGTGTGCATTTTTTTCACGTACATGCGTTGCTGAGCATCTGACGGTCCGACTGAAAGATAGACGTTAGTGGGCTGTGTGCGCGTGCGAC